GAGGATATTGCAATTCAGGCTGGCATCCCAACTTGTGATTTTTCTATCATGAAGTGACTAGAGGATGAAGGAATACTACAGTACCAGCGCTCCCAACGTGGCGCTGAAAATGATGGAGAAGGTGAAGGTCTCGCCCTTTCAGGTGAAGTAGTTGATTCTGGTGGCGATAGTGATGTCCTTGTCAGGTTTTTGATTTTAGCGAGTGCTTTATACTTCGGAATGTCCAATGTGACCTTTCATCGTTCATTGCCTTTGTTCTTTAAAGTAGCAAAATTAAGACCGTGCAACCAGGATAACCATCCTACAAGCTGTGATCCCACATAAGCGCTGCTGCAAGCCGATAAGGTGTAACATCTGGAAGACATCCGTAACTGACCCTAGCTAAACCGTGTAAGGCCCTCTGACGTGCCTTACAAAATAAATGCTTGTCATTGGTTAAAAATCAACCGGGAGGCATCACGGGAAATATGAGCAAATACATACTTTCTCAAAACAGAAAAAACTGATACATTGACTAGTAGGTTTTCTCCCAGCTCATACTTCCTCGCGTTGGCTCTGAAGCAGCGCAGTATACAGATCGTTGTCCTTAAGTTGGGCGATGTGCTCTTGAAACACTTCCGTGTCTGTTCTACGCGGGTCTTGATCAAGTCTCTTTTGATCATGTACTCCAGCATACGACTTTCTTTTTGCTCTTTATAGCTGAAACAGTTTTCCCAGCGCTTCAACACGATCTACGTTGTACTCTCCACCAGAAGGGATCGAATATTTTACTTTCCAGATTAGAAATCGTTTCTTTATGTCAGCCTTAACCGATTATAGATCACAATTCGGATTTGAACATGTTTTATCTGTATTCACGCCTCTAGTTCTCGCAGCCACCGCTCGTCCGACTTGTTCTGGAGCAAACCCATCTTTTTGAAGACGAGAGGGTTATGCTTAGGCGGCTGTAAGTTGTCTATCAGCATAAACGTAGTTTTATATCGGGGATGTAAAATCTGCTATTTTGTGTTAAATTTTTTCCAAATGGAGAAAAATCAATTGAAAATCGCCAAACTGGTGTTTTTCTGCCAATTTTTTTGCTAACAAATCTTAACCCTGAATAGCTGTTTTAACATGAAGATGACAGCAGTTTGGAATGAGGTACGGTATTTTCATATCATATTATCGACCGAACAATACACTTAATGTACAATAAAATGTCCAAAAGTGTATCAATTCGACCGGTAAGTGCTGAAGGTATGTGTATGCAGGTGTACTGTATGCATAGATTCGGTACGGGTCGGTTGTTACACGTTTGGCCCATTCCAGCCGAATTTGTACACCTTCGGGTTATTTTCCCCTTACCAGTACTGAACCGTTTACATGTTAGCTCTGATTATACGCCGTTGTCCGCAAACAACACGAGCCCGGCCTCTACTCGGTCAGCGGGAAATATAAATTTTCGTCGTGGAGCACAGAAGCTGTTTGAAGATACCTCTTACGTATTGTTCTAGTAGTAATTTATGCTTGCAACCAAAAATCGTGTAACTCCATTACTGAGCATCAAATTCCCCAATAGCGACTGGGGTGCAGCAGTAGCTAACGAAGAGTGGGATGGCAGAGAGCTTGACCGAGAGCTGCCCGGCAGGTTGCTCGACCAAGGCAGTGGATAAACCGACAGCTAACGGTCACTCAGAAGTAGTGAAGTGGCTGAGTCTGAATCGATCAGAAAAACAGCGATGACAACGAGAGGATAGTTGGAGGTGGTGAAATGGCTCAGTGTAAATAGCACAGAAGAATGTGCGAGACTGCAGTCAAAGAAGCGACTGTCGGCGGTCACGTGAAGTCATTGCAAAATGGCTGTACGAACTGTGTAAAAAAAAACAAACTGATCCTTGAACTCAAATCCAATGAACTGTAGCAGATGACTCCACACTGAGCGACAGGCTGCCTGGCAGCATAGTGAAATCGGCTAATCGAGCTGTGAGCTGCAAAACTATCAACACGTTTTATATTCGGAAAGCTGCGTGGCGCATTCTGCGATTCGCGGGAAACCGAGCACAAGGCCTCACCAACCATGAAACTCGCAACTACACTCGCTGCTGCCATTGCGGTGATCGCTCTACTAAGCGCTGAAAATGCATTCACCGCTGCTGAACCTTCCGTGGCGAAGCCGATCCCAGTTACGCAAAAGAACGTGGTCGAGGAAAGCGCTTATACTGACAGCCGCAGCCTGCGGTCTAACCCGGCTCGTGAAGACGAAGATGCAGACGCGCAAGACGAGGAACGAGTATTTAACACCGGCGATTTGTTGAATATCTTTAAGCCGCGAACCGCGGAGCAAATAGCAGAGGCGACTAAGAGGGCGGATACGGTCGAGTTTTACAGCAAGTTGGCCAAAAGCCTTTCGTTTCGACGTGAGCGCTTTACAAGCTGGGGAATAGATCGTATACCCGTTAGTACC